TCAAATTAAAAGCTACCTTTTACTTTTAGTTCAGTAGAGCTTGGCAATCCCAGGGCTGAAATTATTCAATTGATTCTAGAAAGTGTGTGGATTTTAAAAACACAATGAAGCACTTCCTGTATTACCACATGACATCACAAGGTGGCACACAGTGCTTTCAGTTTGAGAGAAGCAACTCAGCCTAAATATGCAGGGTTTGTGACTTATTTTGGTGGGATACAGTATCTGTGGTTAATATTTGTCATAGTTTCACATACATTAAAAACAACACAACAACTGTACAAGAACTCACTCTTATGTAACAGATAATACTCCCTACAACTGTACAACAACTCACCTTATGTAACAAATAATACACCCTACTTGCTTTGTTACCTTTATCCCATTTAGAAAAAAAAAAAAAAAAAAGTTTTCGGGTAGTGGATGGAATACTTTGAGGATCTCCTCAATCCAACTATCACGTCTTCTGTGATAGTCCTGATAAGGTCTATACCAGGGACTGGAGAGGAGAATCTGGCCAATAGTCCAACCTCGGATCCAGGAGGAGCAGTGTGGTTTTTGTCCTGGCCGTGGAACACTGGACCGCTACACGTGTCTGATGTTGTCCTGTTGGCTTCATCAGACCAGGACCTGCAGCACTGGGGCAGTTTGCAGCCAAGTGTGAAGAGGCTGGGGTGAAGATCAGCTCTTCCAAATCTGAGGCTGTAGTTCTCGACCGGAAAAAGGTGTCTTGCCCTCTCCGGGTGGGTGGAGAATCCCTGCCTTAAGTGGAGGAGTTCAAGTATCTCGGGGTCTTGTTCATGAGTGAGGGGAGGATGGAGCGTGAGATTGACAGGTGGATCAGTGCAGCGTTGGCAGTGATGCGGTCACTGTATTGGACCATTGTGGTGAAGAGGGAGCCGAAAGGCAAAGCTCTCGATTTACCATGAGTCCTCCCCTCACCTATGGTCATGAGCTCTGTGTTATGACTGAAAGGACGAGATCGCGGATACAAGCGGTCAAAATGAGTTTCCTCCGCACACACACACACACACACACACACACACATATATATATATATATATATATATATATATATATATATATATATATATATATATATAATATATATATATATATATATATATATATATATATATATATATATATATATATATATATGTGTGTGTGTGTGTGTGTGTGTGTGTGTATAAAATTCAGCTTGGTAAACAAAATATTCTGAATCAGCACCCTCAAATTTGCCATTAGGATTTCTCTTCTGTGAAAATACTCCAAGTATTTAGTGAATTGAACAGTTGAATGTGTCATATCCACGCTCATGTCTGTCATCGTCCACCAGATGGCGCCATAGACCAAGTCAGTATAATGCATAGTGACTGCTCTGTACTGACTGTGGAGGAATTGTTGGGTTTCAGGTGACATCACAACATTCTATAGATCAATATGTTTTACTACTTGCAGGTCACTGACTTGGGACTTGAGTCAGACTTGAGGCCTGTGACTTGAGAAGACTTGATGCTTCTCCTAAAAAAATATATATGTTTTTAGAAAATACTATATACCATGACTTACAATTTTGTTTAAAATTTTTATAAATTGCTAAATTCTAAGCTGTATTTGGTATTTTGGTTTAAAGACTTGAAGTTCAAAGCAGACGACTTGGATTTGACTAAGACTTATGGGCCAGTAACTCAAGACTCGACTTGCTGATTTGTCTGTCTTTGTTTTGGGACTTGACTCAGACTTACTTGAGACTGAAAAATCTCGGCCCAAACTTGAGACGATCCAACCACAGCCGCTAATGTGTATCACGCGTCTGTCAAACGCAGGAGACATCTCCTCTCCAAAATGTTCGTAACATTCAGAACAAAATACAGTATATCACTTCTTTTAACACAGATGAGTAACAGTTTGCTGCTTCAGTTGATGATTTGGAGAAAATCCATGCTGTTTCTCCTTCTTTACATAAGCAGGCTATGCATGTTCTTGACTCTGTCTGATTGGTTAATCCACCTGTCAATCACTTCCTCTGAAATCAGGGACACAGGATAGGGCTCCAGATCCATTCATCTTTGTAAAGTTTGTTTCAAAGCGTGTGGTTTTGATTGGCCTTGTAAGTAGACAGGAGAAATGATGGCTTGAATAGAGGAGGATAAAGATGACTCAAACTTGTACAAATCAGCCAAAATATAACTTTGAGAGAATCAACGACAGAAGGCAAACAACTATAACAAGGCTAAAAGCTCTGAAAAGTTGATTTTGCTGAATATGCCTCGTTTAAATCACATTTTGAGTTAGATTTTGTGTGCCACAGTATTCTAAAGTAGTTGTTGTTTACTGCTATTAACCAATCAATAAAACTCTGCTCCCTGTTTCCGATCTACTTTCTGATTGGTCGCCTGTGTGTGTTCTTCGTTCTGACCCAGATCCCGGTCACATCGATGACTTTGGCGCCCGTCGATCAAAGTCTGAACTCATGTTTGTTTCATTAAAGTCGTAAGTATTCACAAATGTACGTTTAATAGCGTAGTTCTGTAGTATTTCTTTGTTTTCCCATTCAATAGATATAATAATTGTTCATCGCTATGGCAAGATTCCGCATTTTTCACTTTTCTCAAACCTGTAGATGGTTCACAGCAAAAAAAGTGTATCTGCAGTGGGCGGAGACAGGGGGTAGGTGAAAACAGAGATTGGTAAAGGTTGATTTTCCGTAATATCTTTCCTCTCCATCACTCTATCCACTGCAGATGGGACGTGTTATTTTTGTTATGGTGCAGTCTCCCCATGTGACGTCAGCCTCAACCCTCCTCCTCTTCTCCTCCTCCTCTCTTTCTCCTTCTCTCTCTCTCTCTCTATCTATCTGTCTGTCTCTCTTTTTCTCTGCTGCTTCTCCTTATCTCTCTCTTTCTGTCTGTCTTATCTCTCTCCTCTTTCTGACACTTTCTCCCTGTTTATTTTTCCTTCTCTCTCTCTCTCTCTGTCTCTCCCTCTCTCCTCTTTCTGCCTCTCCTCGTCTCTCCTTCCTCTGTCTTTCCCTCTCTCTCCTTTTCCTTCTGCTACCCCCCATTCTGTCTCCCTTCCTCTCGCTCTCTCTCTCTCTCCTCCTCTCTCCTTCATCTTCCTCTGTCTCTCTTCTTCTCTCTGTTCTCTGTCTCTCTCCCTCGCTCCTTTTACCTTTCACTGTCTCGCTCTCGCTGTCTCTCACTGTCTCTCTCTGCCCCCTCCCTCGCCCTCTTTTTCTTTCCTCTTCCTCTTGTCTCCATCTCTTTCTCTCTCTATCTCTGTATTGCTCTCTTCCTCTCTCTGCCTCCTCTCTCTTTCTCTCTCTTCCCCTCTCCTTCTCCTTTCTGTCTCCCTCCCTCTCTCTCCTTTTCCTTCCGTTGCCCCCCTTTCTCTCTCTTCCCCTCTCTCCTTCACCTTCCTCTGTCTCTCTCCCTCCCTCCTGTTCCTTTCGCTGTCTCTCTCCTCTCTCTGCCCCCTCTCTCTCCCTCTTTTTTGTTCCTCACCCTCTTTTCTCTCTCTCTCTCTCCCTCCCTCCCTCTCTATCTCTGTCTTGCGCTCTCTCTCGCTCTCTCTCTCTCTTCCTCTCTCCTTTCTCTGTCTCTCCCCTCTCTCCTTCATCTTCCTCTGTCTCACTTCATCTCTCTCTCTGTCTCTCTCCTCTTTCTGCCCCCTCTCTCTCTCCCTCTTTTTCTTTCCTCTTCCTCTTGTCTCTGTCTCTCTTTCCCTCCCTCTCTCTCTCTGCTCTCTGTCTCTCCTCCTCTCTCTTTTTCCTTCTGCTGTCTCCCCCTTTTTTCTGTCTCTCCCCTCTCTCCTTCATCTTCCTCTGTCTCTCTCCTTCTCCTTTCTCTGTCTCTCACCATCTCTCTCTTTTTGCTTCTGCTGCCCCCTTACTGTCTCTCTCCCTTTCTCTCCTCTCTCTCCTCCCTCCTTTTCCTTTCACTGACTCTATCCCTCTGTCTTGCTGTCTCTCTCCTCTCTCTTTTCTTTCCCTCTCTCTCTCTGTCCCTCTTCTTCTTCTCCTCTCTCCCTTTCCCTCTGTCTCTCTCCATCTCTGCTGCACCCATTCTCTTTCTCTCCTCCCTCTCTCCTCCTCCTTCTGTCTCTGCCCCTCTTTTTGTCTCCTCCCTTCTTTCCTCCTTTAAACCCCATCTGTCTTTTCTATATTTATCAGTCACTCCATCTCTCTCTTTGTCTCCTTACATTCCACATTCCTTTCTTTCTTTCAGTATCCTCTCCCTCCCTCCTCCTCCCTCCATCCCTCCGCCATGCATTCTTTTTTTCCCTTCTCCATTCCTCTTCTTGTCTCCTCTCTCCTCCTTTTCCTCTTTCCTTCTTTCCTCTCATTGTCTCCTTCCTCCATCCCTCTTTTCGTCTCACCCTCCCCCCTCTTTCCCTGTTCCTCTCCTCCTCCCTTTCTCTCTTCCTCCTCCTCCTCTCCTCTGCACCATTCACAGATTTTTTTTATTTTTTTTCTTTCTGAATGAGCCTCTTCTTGCACTTCCTACAGCACCAGATGAAAAAAAAAAAGGTGATAAAACATTTTATATCTGTGTTCATTTCATAAGTCAGTACATAAAAATGCACACATACATTTTTGATGCTGTGAGGATGTTAGTTTTTTTTTTTTTTTTTTTCATATTTAGAGGTGAAAATCTGCCTAGCAACAGCCACAAGAAGGAATCAAGAAACACCCAGTGATACAGACTGATACTGTAATGGCTAATTACATTAATTTGAGTTTAATTACATTGAATACAATTCTTTGTTATTTTTAATAGTTTTTAACACATGACCAAACCAAATTTACAGTTGAAAATACTGTGGGTTCTTCTGGGGGCGATAGTACCTTAGTTGTTAGAGTGTTTTTCCAGTGATTCGAAGGTTGGTGTTTTGAATTCCTCTCTCGACATAAACACTGCTGGTTAAGTGGGCAGATCCACTGACCCACAGGTTGGTGGTGTGATTCCACCTCCCACAGATGAATGCTGTCATTGTACATCCATTTTCTTCTGCTTATTCGGGCCCGGGTCACGGAGGTAACAGTCTGAGCAAGGACTTCCTTCATCCCGCACACGTCCTCCAGCTCCTCCGAGGGACCCCAAAGTGTTCCCAGGCCAGCCCAGAGACATAGTCTCTCCAGAGTGTCCTAGGTCTTCCCCGGGGGCCTGCCCAAACATGGGAGGTGTTTGGGACATGCCCAAAACACCTCCCGAGGGAGATGCCCAGGAGGCATCTGGAACACATGCCCAAGCCACCTCAACTGGCTCCTCTCGACGTGGAGGAGAAGTGGCTCTACTCCAAACTCTTCCTGTGTGACTGAGTTCCTGACCCAATCTCTAAAGGAGCACCCAGCCACCCTGTGGAGGAAACTCATTTCGAGCGCTTGTATCCATGATCTTGTTCTTTAGGTCATTATCCACAGCTCATGATCATAGGTGAGGGGAGGAACATAGACTGACGGTAAATTTGGTAAAAAAAAAAAAAAAAAAAAAAAAAAACTGCACTAAACTGTACTACAGTACTCTGCTCGTGAGTTCACTGTCACTGTCCGATATTGAACTTGTCAGGTAACCAAAATTCGACGTCAAATGTAAATATGTCATATAATTATTTAAATATAAATACTTCATATAAATATAATTTTTTTAATTGAAAAAATCAACTAAATACAAGATGCAGATATGTATTATTTGCCAAAAAGTAATTTCAAAAACAGGCCATGACAACTGTTACGACCCAGCTCGTTGGGGTGAGGGAAGTAACAAAATAAAACCAAGAGGTGAAATGGAATAAATTAAATAATGTTTAATTAACAGGAAAGGTAAACTAACAAAACTCTAAAAATACACAGAAAACAACCTAAACTAAGAAACAGAACAAGAGTTTTGTGCCACAAAAGGGGTCACACAGGCTTAAACAATAACGAGTGGTACAATTAAGGGACACACACAAACTAAAACACAAGTTCCCCAAATTAAACCACATAAGCCCACAAACAGAATCCAGTGACCAAATCAAAAAAGGCACAAAACAGAACTAAACTAAACACACAAACAAACACAAAATGGCAAACTGGCCACCAATGCCAGCAGCCCCGAACAGGTGCTGGTAATCTCCTTAAGTAGGGGGCGGTGGCTGCAGGTGAGGACCAGGACCAGGGCTCCGGAGAACTCAGCAAAATCACACAAAACATGTTAGAACTAAGGCCTGGGGGCGTAACAACAACTTTTGAGAATTGCCTCATAGGGCCAGTTCAAGAGATGGGGGCAGAGGGGCTGGGGGACCGGAGATGGGGCCTTAGTTTGATCATCCCTGGTCTAGAAGCTGAAAACTACCAATAGGAGGGTGGAAGGGCATCTGACATAGAGGATATGGAAGGATGGGAGGGCATCTGACACACAGGTGAGGATAAGAATAGAGGGATAAAGGAGGAAACGCTGGTCTGACGTTAAGAATGAGCTGAAGAGAATGATGGAGGTTAAGAGTCCATTCACAAGAAACAAGAGCGAGGAGGAACTGAGGAGGATTATGTAACAAGAGCACAGACTGAGAGAGAGGAGGGAGAGGAAGAGAAGGGAGGAGGGAAGAGAGAAAAAAGGAGAGGGAGAGAGCAAAGCGGGGATGAGGGAGGAAACAAAATAGGAGGGTGAGAGACAGAGAGAGGAGGGAGAGAGGAAGAAAAGAGGGAGAAGAGGAGGGGAGTGAGAGAAAGTGAGAGAGAAAAGAGAGAGGAGAGGTGACAAGAGAGAAGGATGAGAAGAAGCAATATTTATCTGACCACAGTACATTTGCAATGAATAGTCACTCATGAGAATGTTTTTCAGGTTTTTTTTAAGATTTACATGTGTAATGCCATACTGTGGAACATTCCAGACAATACATCACCATGTAGACAAACAGGCGGCAGACTTTTTGACAGAATTTCCATAGTGCATCTTTAAAGAAACATTCAGTTAAAGGTAATTTTATTGTAACTTGTCTTCTCTCAAGATCTGACCTCTCCTCGTCTCCATGGAGATCGATAAGTTTACCTCCATACTGCGGAACATTCTGGGCGAAGTAAGAGCATCTCCATGGAGACAAACAGGCGGCGGACGCTCCACTATCAGAAGGGAGGGCATCTGACACACAGGGATACAGGAGGATGATGCACTGATGTTATGTAATAAACAAATGATTCTCCCTCACTGAACTGAGATCTGAGCAAAAAATATCAGAGGAGGACTAAACCAGGACTAACTCAGAACTAAACCAGGACTAAACCAGGACTAAACCAGAACTAAACCAGAACTAAACCAGGACTAAACCAGGACTAGAACTAAACCAGGAACTAAACCAGGACTAAACCAGGACTAAAACCAGAACTAAACCAGGAACCAACTCAGGACTAAACCAGGACTAAACCAGGACTAAACCAGAACTAAACCAGACTAAACCAACTAAACCAGGGACTAAACCAGGACTAAACCAGGACTAAACCAGGACTAAACCAGGACTAAACCAGAACTAAACCAGGACTAAACCAGGACTAAACCAGAACTAAACCAGGACTAAACCAGGACTAAACCAGAACTAAACCAGAACTAAACCAGGACTAAACCAGGAACTAAACCAGGAACTAAACCAGGACTAAACCAGGACTAAACCAGAACTAAACCAGGACTAAACCAGAACTAAAACCAGGACTAAACCAGGACTAAACCAAAACTAAACCAGGACTAAACCAGGACTCTAAACCATGTCTAAACCAGAACTAAACCAGGACTAAACCAGAAAAAAATCAGGACTAAACCAGGACTAAACCAGAACTAAACCAGGACTTAAACCAGGACCTAAACCAGAACTACACCAGGACTAACACAGGCTAAACCAGAAATAAATCAGGACAAAACCAGGACTAAATGAGAACTAAACCAGGACTGAACCAGGATTAACCAGAACTAAACCAAAACTAAACCAGGACTGAACCAGGACTAAACCAGATCTACACTCAGGACTAAACCTGGACCAAACCAGAACTAAACCAGGACTAAACTAGAACTAAAGCAGGACTAAACCAGGACTAACTCAGAACTAAACCAGGACTAAACCAGGACTAACTCAGAACTAAACCAGGACTAAATCAGTGTATAAAGCGTTTTATTGTCCAGTGATCAGGAAGTGCACATTTGAACACTAGCTGTTGACAATTTACTGTCATAACAAAACCGTAGTCTCTGTGAAAGTTGTGAGAAGTTCTTCTAAACTCATCATGGTGAATAATTAGGACACTCTGAATGCATAAGGTCAGTGAGGAAGAACTTTAGACCACTGCAATCTGTTTCAAATGAACTAAAAATCAGGTAGAAAACTTTTAAGATCAAATTGTACCCTCCATTTAATATTTTCCAGGAACAGTTTCATAACCACAGCCAATACCAACAACGATTTGACTTTGTCCCCTGAGGAAAGCCATAGGCTGAAACGCGTCGGGACTTTTTAATTTGTCCATTAAGACATGCCGTAAACTAATAAAGGCATTTTATTTTGAACCAGTGAGTGCCTTGGGTTTTTTTTTTTTTTTTTTTTTTTTGCATCTTTGTAACGATTTGACTTTCTTTAAAATCACATTTCTCTTAAACTCTTAATCTATTTTTTTTCTCAAAAGATTTGAGCTAAAGCAACGGCCTTCTCCTCACAAATATGCTGTGAGATTAGAATTCTTGCTTAAAATCGTGTGTGTTTGCGATGATGTAACAGACTTAAGAGAAAAGAGAAAATCTGCAGTGGATTTGTGAATGTAACTTTAACCCAGATTTAAAGGCGCATTGTGTAACTTTTCTGCCGGAAGGTCTGTCAAATTCACTCTTTCTCCACAGAGATGGTATTGCTTTGTCTGTCATACATTTACATGAACTGGAAGAAGTAGTAGTAGTAGTAGTAGTAGTAGTAGTATTAGTAGTAGTAGTAGTATCATTAGTAGTAGTAGTAGTAGTAGTAGTAGCATTAGTAGTTGTAGTAGTAGTAGTAGTAGTAGTAGTAGTAGTAGTAGTAGTAGTAGTAGTAGTAGTAGTAGCAGTAGTAGTAGTAGTAGTAGTAGTAGTAGTAGCATTAGTAGTAGTAGTAATAGAATTAGCAGTAGTACTCCTAATAGTAGCAGTAGTAGAATTAGTAGTAATACTAATAGTTGTAGTAGTAAAATTAGTAGTAGTAGTAGTATTAGTAGTAGTAGTAGTAGTAGTATAGTAGTAGTAGTAGTAGTAGTAGTAGTAGTAGTAGTAGTAGTAGTAGTAGTAGTAGTAGTAGTAGTAGTAGTAGTAGTAGTAGTAGTAGTAGTAGTAGTAGTAGTAGTAGTAGTAGTAGTAGTAGTAGTAGTAGTAGTAGTAGCATTAGTAGTAGTAGTAGAATTAGCAGTAGTACTCCTAATATTTGCAGTAGTAGAATTAGTAGTAATACTAATAGTTGTAGTAGTAAAATTATTATAGTAGTAGTAGTAGGAGTAGTAGTAGTAGTAGTAGTAGAAGAATTAAAAGTGGTAACAGTAGAAGTAGTAGTAGTAGTAGTAGTGATGATAGAATTAGTAGTAGTAGTAGTGGTAGTAGTTGTTGGATTAAAAGTAGTAATAGTGATTGTAATGATACTAGTAGCAAAAATACTAAGATGTAGTAGTAGTAGTAGTAGTAGTAGTAGTAGTAGTAGTAGTAGTAGTAGTAAAGTCTCCTTTCAAGTACCTGTTGTGTGTGTGGGTCATAAAGCAGGAGCTTTTTGACCCTGCAGGCCTGCGTGCTCCGTGGGGCAGTATTTATTTGCCCTGCCCCTCCTCCCCTCCTCTGGGTCACAGTGACAGGTCAGTGTGGAGGGTGCTATCCACGTCGTAAACATTCCAGGAAAACACAATTGCATTTGACCCCGCGTGGACAGGAAGTTCAGGGGTCAAAGGTCACGGTGATTACAGCCTTTCCTCCTGAACTCTGACCCCAGTGAATCACAGAGTACACAGAGACATGAGGGGAAATGGTGCAATAACTAAACAGGCTACAACATGATTATGGACATGTGTTGAAAGAGTGAACGTGGAACCACTTACAGTTGAGGGGCATTTTATTAAAGCCACAGTGTGTAACATTTGAGCTGAATAGACAAATATATAAACATTGTGATAAAAGAAATAATATACTGTAGTGTAGTCAAAATAGTGTTGGTGATTTTATTTACA